CCCCCCCCCCCCGCCCCCCTCAAAAAGAAGATCTGTCCCTGAAATCACGTCACGTTACATCAAATCAGACCACAACCCTAAAATCAACTTAACACTTTTATAGCATTGATGTCTGTCATAAGAATACACTCATTTGCTTTCACATATCAGCCCATCTCGGAGTTTTCTTCATTAAAAATAATTTTATTATTACATTAGCTTCATGTGCAAGCAAAATCTTAGGCAATAAAAATTTGTCCTTCTATCTTCGAATTCCTACTTCGGACATCAAGTATTAATTACAGCAGCCTTCCAGCATTGCATACCTCAGAAATCTGTTGTGAATTCGTCGGTTGAGACCAAACATCAAAAGAGTTCAAACCTTTTAACTGGTTCGTCTTAGACTGCGAAAACAAGTCAGACGAACTGTTTTGCGATCCTTGTGAACAAGACATGGGCGCTTGACTAAACTGGTCACTGTCCCACATTTCTCGGCTGAAAAAAAGAGCAAAAAACATCAAGAGCAATTAAAATTCTCTTTCAATGGAGACGATTGTACGTTGCAAACGATTTCAAGGGGTTGAAAATGGAAAATGAAAGCATAAAATAGACAATCGAAAGCTGTTGAAAACATGAAAGTTCATTTCATAATAAACTTGAGAAACAATTTTATTTATAGGAAATCCATCCTTCAGTACAATCAACATCTTTCAGCAGTTTAGTTTATCCGAATGAAAGTAAGGAATGCGCTGAGAAAAAAAGTAACAAATTTAAGTTCATGAATGTTTTTAAGAAGCCCAGCTTTCAGCTCGGTGTTCTTCACTGGCCTTCGTGATAAGAAACAAAAAAAGCACAACTACTGCTTAAAAGCGAACTATAGAGATTGAAAAGCTATGAAGTTCACAAAACACGTTGAAATGAAGTTGCAGCACTCACCAGGGATTTGAATTGTACAACTCACGGGCAGGAAAAACGTTTTGCATTTGAAGAAAAAGCTGTGGAGTCTTTCACTAATGCGACTGTAAGAACCCACTCCAAAGTGTCAGGAAAGTGTGGTTTCGAAAGCGAGTGGCTTGGCATAAAATCACTGAATTCCTCTTCTTTTGTACGGTGAAAAACTTCAGTCGTCAGTTTTCTTCTCTTTCGCAGCTTGAGTCAGGGTAAAATTGCTTTTAATTCTCCTTTAGGGAATAAAATACCTAAATAAAAGCCTAAAGTAAAAGACGTTAAAAACCCAAAGTTAAATCTGGAGAAATGTGTAGCCGCGTCACGTTTCCCGCCTTTTTCTTCCTCGCGCGCAATAGTGTGAAAGGGTGGGAAGGGAGGGGTTTTAAACTCTCGAGAAACATGGGAGACAAATTGAAAAACGGCCGAAGAAGAGATTAAGAAGAATCGAAATGAAATACTAAAAGATATTTCATAACAGCGACTAGTGTTGATATTCTCCTCGGTTTCTTGTTTATGAATTAGGTTTCTCGCTTGCACTCGCTTCACGCGTGAATCTTCGGTTCCACGCGCGCCGTCTGGCCGCCCTATCCCGATAGAAGATTTGGCTTGAAGTCAAGAACGCACTTTATTAAAATAGAAGAGAGATGCAGCTGATTTTTATTCTTTATTTTTAATATCCCTTCAATCACACAAATAAAAAATCGTGAAAATCGGTTCTTGAAAGTGTTTGTAGAAGTGACAAAATCGATCGCGCGACGTTTTTCATGTTGATTACATTTGCGCGATGAAGCGAAACGAGCTTCAATTGGTTTATTTCTCGAGGGACTGTCAATTATAGCCTCAATTACGGGCTCCGTGGTAACGAACACAACATATAACACCTCGCTACAGATGACTGGAGGTTAAATCGGCAAGTTTAATGGCGAATAACTCTGTATTATAAGAGTTTAAAAAGGTAATTTATAGTTGTCAAGTTGCCCAATGATTTTGAGATGACACACGTATACGAATCCAAGGACATTCGCGGAACATGGGTAAGATTCGAGACGCTTTCACAATATGTTGTCCTTGTCGACCATTTGTAAACGGCGACCATAAATTGATAAACGATCTAAAACATGTTGAATATTTTAGTTTCCTTCAGGTTTCCATGGACATTTTCGAAGTAAATCTCGTTCAGAGTTTACAATTCCTTACCGTCACAGGGCGAAACCATGTCCGCCACAAAAATTTCTCAATTATGCAACGGTAAGTTGATCTACAGTTTAGGAATCAGCTACTACTAACAGTTGTCATTTATCACAGGTAAACAAACGAGCTTGATTGTACAACATTTAACAATAAGCTCAGCTGTGTTTTAATATCAGTCGTGATCTAATAGACTAATATCATGCACAGATTGGCAGAAACTTAAGATTCTCTCTAATATATTACCATCCATGGCCATCTACAAATTATTACAATGAACAGAACTTTCTTGCAGTTGACATCAAATCTATATACAGTACTAAACAAAGCAAAAGCAAATCTGTTGGCTCAAATCCGTTAAAAGAAGAAAAAAATGTCAAGAACCGGTTAATCAGTTTGTCACCAAGCGGAGGTTTAAGGTTACTATCTCAGTTTCATTGAACTGTATACTGAAATGATATACCTTCAGAATGAAGAGTTCATTAATATATTTAGTAGCATACATGCTGGGCAGGTGTTCACTATATCATATAGCAGTCATATTTGAATTATTACATTTGTATAATCAAATTTTAGACCTTGATATGTATTATCATGTATTATTTAATTACAACAGCCAAAATTCATTGGCAAATTATGTAAACTGAAGTTAAAGAGTATTATTATAATTACAATTCAATGGCAAAAATTATGGGTAAAAATACAAGTTTATATATATATGAAAAAAGTTGCCAAAAAGAACCTATTATAACATAAGCCATTGGCAGGTCTATAAAAGAGTCATGGGGCCCCATACAAGATAGAACACCTAAATATTTAGAAATAAAAAAAAAATTAAAATCCATCAAAAAAGTTGAGTTGAGTATCGACCAGTATATCAACTGATATCTGTACTGATATACTCGGTGAAGTATCGACTGATATATTGACCGATACTAGATCGAGTACTGACTGATACATGGTCAAGTATTGACCGATGTATCAACTGATATATTGGTCGATATATTGATCAAGGCCTCCCATAAGATACACGATCCCAATTATGTTTGCAAAGCAAGGTAAAAGTAAAGGTAAACAAAATCTGCATCAGGTCAAGTGGTCCATACAGTCAGAGCTTTTCCTGGTTTCCTGGATATAGAGTATGAGTATCTCTACTCTCCCCTGCATGGGATGCTAGCTAACTAGTCCATCACAGGGCTACCCCTCAGCTTTAAATTTACCAGTACCCATTTATACACCTGGGTGGCAAGAGGCACTGTGAGAGTAAAATCGCACACAAACACAATGACCCCAGCCAGGGCAGAGCTGTGCTCTAAAAGCGACCGGGTGCCCAAGGCGACTAACTTTTGCCTTTGGGTGACTAGAGAAACTTTCGTGAGCACCCAGGATTTCATGGTTAGGAACCTTTGGACTCCTTGTAATCTTTCTTAGACCACAGCCTTGCAGGGCTTGAACCCAGACCACATGAAATCTGGAGTCCATCATGTGTGGTTACCATTGCCCCAACTTGCCTCCATGTAGCATTAAGTAATGCCCCAAAATTTCTACTCTCTCATTCTCTGTTGTATCATAACAGAGTGTCAAAGTCTCAATTCAAAATGAAGGTTTGAGCACACAGTAAATTTGTTAGTCTTACCCTCTTGCAAAGTCTTGGACTCACAATTTGCCAGCCTTATATTTTGACATGTTGGGACAGTGTATTTTATTCCTAATAGCTGGTGACTCATCTGTTTCTTCAAATTATAACAGGAGCGATCCAACAGACATCTCTTTTCAAGACATGATAACAGACATTCTCACAGTGATATGGGTGACCTTGAAACATATTTTGGAATGGTAAGCAGCTGTTTAAGGTTCAAAAATAGTGACAACTACACGTACCGTAAATGCTTGAATAAGCCCCCTCTCCCCCATCAAATAAGTACCCCCTTAGAATAAGCGCCCCTCCTATCAGCCAAAATTTAAAATAAGCGCCCCCTTCGAATAAGCACCCCAAATATTGGCCAAAATTTAAAATAAGCGCTCTCCCCCCTCCCCCCGTTTTGTGGATGAGTAATGAGACAACAAAGGATGTATAGATTTCATCATATAGTATTAGATTTGTGCATTGTTTCAGTTCGTGAACACGTTAAGTTTGGAAAAAAATTACAAGTACTCAGGGTGCCACGATTTAAAGTTTAGGATCAGCTTTTTAGGTTGATAAACAGCTTATGTTGTTGTTTATGTGCAGATGATGTATAAAAAATGATCTTGTCAGGCCACAATTTGGGAAAAATTAAATAAGTGCCCCCCTCCAACAAGCACCCCCTGTCTTCTCCTCGCCCCGGGTGCTATTTCGAGGATTTACCGTATTAGGAATAAGTCTCTAAAGGCCAAAGGGACCAATGGCATCCCGCTTATTTTCCAGGTCACAGCCTTGTCAAAATTGCTTCCTTAAAGGAGTTTACACCCATTCAAGTAATTTTGAGAGCGGGGAAAATTAAGATTTATAATGAATATTGGTTAACCACACGCTATCAGTAACTCAGATACAATCTATGGTAAGAAAATAGTCTACGGGTAACCTTTGTACTGATTGGATGAAAGGTGTTTCTACTGAACAATAAGTCTACATGACAAGCTTTTTGTCTTTGATCAAACAGTTAGGCAAGCCTGTTCCAGGCTCTGACTGAGGGCCTGGGAAAGGCTACCAAACAGTCAATAAGGTGCAGTTGATTTGGCTATTGCTCATAGGTGCGGGGGAGTTTGTAAGTTCTACATAGCAGAAGTATAAGAGTCAGAAACTTAAAAATAAATCTTTTAATTTAAGATGTTCTTTAAGCCAATAATCAAGAATACCTGTAAGTTGCATGACCATGACTGCCATGGTCTATCACTTAGCGAATCAGATTCGTGGATCTCTATCTAGAACATGATGAGTGTCTGTCACATGACAGCCTTCATTGTGTTTGCCTGTTTGCGTGAGCTCGCGCACGTTTTTGATAGGTTAATAGAATCCGAAGCTCTTTGAGGAGTTACAAACTAACCAGTCCAGTTCTGGCCATCTTTCTGTCACGCAACGTTACGTCACAGAGAGAGTGCCAGAACTGGACAACAAGGAAAGCCGTGCCACTACGCAGGCTTAAAAGAAATGTTAAGATAAAGACTCTCCTGTTTGTTACATTTTAGGGAATGGGCAAACGCAAATATGTGCAACCCGGTCAAACACAACATACAAAGAGTACTCGTGACCTGATAACATGGAGAGGCAACGAATCATCGGACCCTGTATCAACTTACCGTGCGCATTACCCATCTTCACGACCATCCTCGTGCGTTTTTGGTTTTAACGAAACAGAGCCGATCCACGTGAGGTCAAATCTCGAACTTCGACGAAGACAACTTCGGGCGTCTTCGGCTCCGCCGTCGCAGCGCCGAACAGCTCCGTTACTTGCTTGGAATGAACCCGACGAAGCGCATCACGGCAAACCTGGGGTTGGTGTCAGACAACCGATACGGGAGAGCGGAGGAGGTTTTGCGTCATCAACTCCGTTTGCGCAAACAGCACCAGCCGCTGTACGCTCACAGACTCCTAGCCAAAGTTTCACTATATCGGAGACTATTGTTCCGCTTAGTACCACGTGACTGCTGGCTGCGCAAACACTGCGCAGTCGTATGTTGCAAGCAATGATAGCAAATAATCGGGAATTCATGAAGAAAATGTTATTTGCAGGATAGCGTACATGTAGTATTTGTCGGGAATCTGTGCTTATGGTCTTAAAGTGAAGGACAGGGCAAACTCTGATAAATGAGCCAAATGGTAAGTGAGCCAGTCCATCGGAATTCGAATCTGAAGAATGCAGCTGACGAAAATGGCGCGAAAAATGACCGGTGGAAGACACTGACCTGAAAAAGTAATTGCAGGCGTTTCATCTCGGAAAATAGAAAAAATACCAGAACCGTAGAATGTTTCGAGAAGTATTTTAAAAGAAAACAAAGTGCAATATAAATAGAGCACGCTAATTTGGGGTGGACCTTTTTCAATCCATCGACCTCACTGTACAGCGCATGTAATAAAATAAAAGTGCACATTTACGAAGAGAAGTTGTCTCCGATTTTTGCCGGTTTGGTCACAACCCTAACAACGCAGCTCAAAATTCCTTTAATATTGGACATTATATAACCGTATCCTTCCCCCGCCGCCACGAGTTGGATCAGTATCGTGTGTGCAGTGAGGATCGGAGACGTAGGCGGTTGAACGCTTTTCATGACACATCTTGTTCCCAGAGGCCTCTATTCTTTTGGCTTGCAACACGAATCGAGACCTAGAAGAAATCGGGAGGTGAGCCAGCGTTAGCCATAGCCAGTTACTCTCTCTCTACGCATGTTCAGAAATCATTTTTGATTCGAGGAATTTTCTGTTTCGGTTTTTTTTGTTGTTTTGTTCAGCGTGTTGGCGTTCGGTCAATACTGAAAGAATTTGGGACGACGTTGTACGCTTTGACTTGTACACTGAGCCAATCGTTGGCCGTACATAGCTTGACAAGCCCAAGGGTGATCCATTTGATTGCAAGGAGACCATCTCCTGTTTTCCCAACATTCGCGCGCATGATATGCAAGAGAGCTTCAAAGATATGACTGATTGTAAAAATTATACAGTTGTATTACAAAACAACTTCAGTTAAATGAACTAGAAAAACTGAGAGGAGACAGGCACAAAGCTGGATTAGCAAGCCTCATTAACAAGGGAAAATGGCATCCAGAAGCAAGGAAGTGTGTACCAGCAAAGCTCACCGGATGGGAACTAAAAGCAAACTGCTATGAAGAGGAAGGACATAGTGAAGAAGAAGGGGATAATTCTGAAGAAGAAGAAGAAAGAAAAGAGGTGGTGGATGATCAGGAAGAATGCAATGAAGGAGAGGAACAATGAACAGAAAGAAATTTATGTTTGAAAAAACTTGCTGAACACATTTCATGTGTTAAAAGTAAAACTGTGGTACTTAATATGATTGCCTTAATTGGTGTCGAAGTGTGAGTGGGGAAGGGGGAGAGTGGGACGGGGGTGTATGTATTTCAAGTTTAGCATGGTGTGCTACAGGGGTCATAATATTTCTGTTTTGTTTGGAGTGGGAAAGGGGGGTCAAAACGTTTTGTTGTTGTCTGTAATAAATCTTGCCAGCCCCTCCCCTCCCAGGCATAAGTAATGAATGGTCTCTAAGGACTCCAACTTAGACCGCTCGATCCGGAGACGAGCGCACTATCCATAAGGCCACCACGCTAGTACAAGGCTAGTACATACATTAAAAATACCGGTAGAGGATAAAAAGAAGATCAGAATTTGCCATATTAAAGTGTAATTTCATGTCTAGCCACTGAACGAGGTGCACTTAAATTAGTTCGTTTTAAATTTTTGACCAAGAGTTTCATGTTTTATGCTCTCGCACAGAGTGCATGCTTTGTGTGAAGTGTTCCCTACGTGTAAAAATGTTTTAAAAGGCTTTTTGTGATCCGGCAAAACAAAACATAATTTATGGACAATATATTACTGTCCTTTTTGCGTAACATTTCACCCTTGCAGTCTATCACCCCATGTCCATACCACATCACACATTCTCAAACTGGAGTTTTACGATGACTGCAGAAATTTTCGCGCGCTCATTGGCTAATTTTCATCGTCAATATGCCGACAGACACATGAATTTACAATTTATGCGATGCGTCAACGAGCGAGACCGCACAATTTGACAATCTGTTATCGTAAAAAACAAATTGACGTCAGTTTTTCATACATCTGTCCTGTTATTGACGATGAATTTGGTCATAACATTGTCAAAGTAGTCTGCGGATCCAGTCGGCTATCGCCTCGTGGATCCACAGCTACTTTGACAATGTTACGACCAAATTCATCGTCAATAACAGGACAGACGCATGAAAAACTGACGTCAATTTCTTAATTTGCTGCACGAGTAAGAGCGCCCCACAATTCCATTCGAGTCTTTATGATTATTATTATTTGTCATGATTCTCTCCATCGCCTGCATGCTTTAGAAATAGAAGTTAATAGATTGCTAGGCATAACCCTTACTCTTCCGGCTTGTTAAAAACACCAAAGCCCTCGGCTAAGATGACATCCCGGCATGGAAAGATGACCGAAAGTCACATAGGACGTAGCCGGAGCGAAAGTCGATAAGATTGAGTGATGTCCACACCGCCGGCTTCGACATAGCCTCGAACAGTTTCTCATATTCAACAAGCCGGTTTCAGTAGCTACGTTTAGTTTGTACCTTAACACATGGCAGAAAGTTACAAAATGGACATGTTACGAATTCAACTCGCTGGTTTGAAGCCGAATGGCTCAACAAATGAAGACGGAAGTTGCAACTTGGTGGAAAATGTGTCAGATTCGAATAGGCAAGAGTTGAACTCAGTTTCCGAGACAGAAGCTGTACGCGAATCAACCGAAGGCGACTTCGATTCGACAGAGGGCTTTAAACTACCAAGTCCGCCAACAGGCTCTCCTGTGGCCGCTGTAGCGAACGATTCCGGTCTATGCTCGGCTGTTTCGACTGATGTGGTCGATTCGATCTCTTCGCGTGCAAGTCTTGACAGCTATGTTTGGAGTTCGGCGAATTCAGACCTTCCTTCATGGACTTTGCCGGAAGATAAAGAAAGATTCATTTGGCCGTCTAAGGTATTAGTTTATTCCAAACATTGATATGTAACCAAATGCTATAATGTGCGCTAACGGAAGAGTTTAGGAACCCAATCCTGGATTTCTCAAATTTGGCAAACGGCTGAATGGATTGAAAATCTATGTGTTACTTCTATTAAAAGTTATGTAGATGAAAAATCGTTACTAAAAGAAATGGCGACTAACTTAACCTCCATCACTGTGGTTAAAACGGGTCTCACCAAGACCGTAAACTAATTTTGTTTACTTGTATTCATTGCCCTCCAATACAGCGCCAAATATGTTTTTTTTTTTTTGCGCGATCGTGTTTCAAGTCAATTTGCATTCGCACAAAAACTGATATATGTAAATTATGTCAGTGTTAGTATATCAATCACAGGGTCGCTCTTCACTGATTTTGAGTTCGGGGGCCCGGGTTGTTCAAAGCCCGATTAAGCTAACCCAGGATTAGCAAGAATTTTGATTTCAGATTTGTTACTTTTCGGTGAGGTTTTCTGTTTTACAATGTTTGTCCTTCAGTTTTGAGCTTGACTAAGCTCAAACCACAAAAAATGTGAGCAGTAAAAAACATTTTTATACCAGAAAAATTAATACTTTGGTTAACTTTTAATCCTGGGTTAGTGTTAACCGGCTTTCGAACAACCCGGTATTTTAATGCGGTAACTTGGGTGTTAGTTATCTTCTGCTTCTCTGCAGGGCAAATTCTTTGCTGTGACAGATTCATTTGAGGAGAATTCTCAATATCATCTTTCTGTAGAGATAGGAGGTGGTGCGTTTGGTAAATGCTTCCTTGCTGTAGAAATTCCAGCAGATGATACTGTTGAAGGAAGAGTATTTTGTGTGAAAAAGGTAAGATTGAACTATTATTTTATACTATTTTCAATTAAATTCACCAGATATTTAACTCATTAGCTACAGCACAACGCTAATGGTCGTTTGGGAGTGAGTAGCCTACCTCTATATTTATTCTCACACCGGTCCGAGGGCGCTCGCTCTCACACCCTCCTTTATCCAGTGAATGAGGAGTCATTATAATATCACAAGTTCGTTCACTGATATCTTATCTGAACATATCCTATAGACCTCATGTCGGCGCTATGAGGACAATCTTGTTTTTTTTTAACTTTTTTATTTATTTATTTCTCATTTACCTTACGTAAGTGTCAATACAGGAAAAACGAGCTACTGGCTTTGGAACTGGCAAAGAAGGAGAATATCCTTGAAATCGTTGAGTTCTATGGTGTGAAAATTAAAGGCAGAAATGCTTGCATTTTTATGGAGTTTATGGCAGGTAAGGACAAACGGATGTATAGTAGATTGTTCTTTTAAGCATTATCGTGATTAAGTTATCATGTGCCAGAATGAATGGGGAGCGAAGGTGGTTGGCCCATTCCTTTTAATTCTATCCTCCTCTTCTAGCTCGGGCTCTGTTCTTATTAAAAAAATAAATAAATAAACACGTATATGGGCTACCTCTTGTGGTGTTTCTTACTGAATTACTTGTTAGACTAGAGCGATATTCGAATGAATTTATATTTTCTCTTTTTATTGCTTTAAACTGAAACAAATCAAAGCCAGTCAAAATCTTCTGTAACTGTTTCTGATTCCGGCACACTGGCGTTCTTATGATCTTCAGAGAGAGGGAGAGCTGAGCTACAATCAATCAGCAAAATGGCTGAGACATTCTCCCCGAAATTGGCATTGTTTCTGGTTGGAAAAGTATGTGAAATAACTTTTTTTTTCTGACCATACCTTCTCCCTTTCAAAGTTGTTTCTGATGTAAATGATCCCTAAATTCAGGCAACATTGCATTGCTGCTGAAATGTCTAAACTGGGAACCAAACAATTCTGAATTCCCTTTTGCAAATGATTGATGCATGATCGATTGAGACTTCGGGCCCCAAGAGTTAGCACAATTTCCTATTGCTGGCTTCAGCTAGCTCATCTTGCGCGAACAAGATGTTGTTTTTCTTACAGGAGGAACTATAGCAGATCTTATTCAAGACAAGAAGAACTGCTGCAGTAAAGGAAATTGGCCAGTTCTTTCGGAGACGGACAGCCTTGGTTACTTGGAAGATGTCTTGAAGGCTGTCAAATTCTTACATAGTAAGGGGATCGTTCACAGGGACATCAAAGGTAATGCAGAAACAGAATTTTCTTGTTGTTTTACTTTAGTACATCGCGTTGGCAAACGCTTCGAGAAGGGCTTGCAAATTAGAAATGATGTATATACACTAGCTCGCAATGGTTTTGATTAGAATACTCAACAATTATTCCACGGGTGCGTTGGATATACATTAAACAATCGCCTCCATTTTGCGAGAAAATACTCTCAAATATTTGTCCGCGGACATTATCTGTTCAGAGAAGTGAACAGTTTTCCGAGAGCATAGGTCAAAGAAGACTGCGAGCTTCTCACAACCAACAAGCGCGAGTGGACGTATTTTTTTATTAACGCCCCCAAAATGTAGAAAACTGAACTAAATTACAAATAAAAACGCCCCGAAAAAATCACGCGTGCGGTTACCATATTTGTAAAGCATGGTATAATGGCTCGTGTACCATGATGGCTAAGACAATGAAAACTCTGGAATTGCATTATCCAATGATCCAGTTTTTGATAAATGACATTAGAATTGTTTTTTTTATGTAGGAGACAATGTACTTTTGGCGGAGGATCGCCTGCGTGCGAAACTGACAGACTTCGGATCAGCGGGGAGCTGCCAGGTAAGCTATACCAAGTAAAAAGACCATTTCCGAGTTACCTTGTGCCTGTGTCTCAACTAGAGTCTTCGTGCAAAACGTTTCATATGAAAATGTGTTTGATTTACGTGAAATGAACCTGCAGTTCCTGTAGGCGGAACACATCTTCATATTCGCTATTTCGACATCCCCCATAATGCACCTTGTTTGCCCCCAAAATTTTACATAACCTTTGTTTCCCATTTCTCCTGGGTATGACAGTCGTCCCAAGAGAAACTAAAGACAGTGCTTATGCAAAATGTTTGGGGGGAAACAAGGTGTGTTATGGGGGATGTGGAAATGGCGAAAGAACGGTTTCGCACGAAGACTCGTTTTGAAACAGAGGCAAAAGACCACTCGGAAATGGCCTATTAGTTTGAAGCTTTTTGTTTCCTTTATGCCTGGACGTCGAAGTGACTGCGAGTTAGTTACGCGTCAGGCTTCATTATGCTAGAGTCTTATAAGCTAATTGTTGATACAGCAGTTTGGCTAACGCAACAGAGCAGCAGTAACAACTACAGCAACAGTCAACAACAACAACAACAACAACAACAACAACAATTTCAACTTCTGGCAACTGATTCGTAGCTTCATACATGCGGTATAACAACTAGTTGCTTCTATATAAAAATAAAAACGCCCCCAGAAATCTCGCGTACGCTTACCATATTTGTAGAAATAACGGCTCAGATACCATGATGGCTAAGCCGGTGAAAACTGTTGAATTGCATTATCTAGTTTTTAATAAAATCTAAAAACAACTAGTTTATAGGGTACGTTGAAATTGTAAGAACACCAACAACGACAACAACACTGACAGCCAAAAGAATCACAGGTTGCCTTGATTTTCAGCCCATATATATTTTTTCTGGCCTATAGGACGCTAAACCCTCTGTTGATATCTGGAAAACTGCCTGTCTTCTTCTGGAGATGTTAAACGGGGAAAGACCTCCTCTGTTTATAAATGTAAGTATTGTCTAATGATTAATTATAGGACATCAAACTGAACCCGGAATCTGTTTACAGAGTTAATTTTAATAAGAGTTGAAAAACGCGAAAGAGTTTCCAATAGCTGGGAAAAATGTCGTCAAGGACTGGAATTAAAACATGTAATTATCGGTGCGACAAACCTTTGGTGCCACATTTCAATTAATTTTTAAGTTTAATTCTTGCTGGTTTCTATAGCTTAATTTCATGCTTCTTTGGTCGATTATAAAATTACTTATGAAGCTTTATGATAGAAGCTTGCTTTGAAACTTTTTTTTGTCTTTTAATAGCCGTGTTCTGTTAATGGCGTTAAATAGGCAAAAGATGAGTACCGTATTTGATTTCTTCTCTAGGAGGGAAGCCTTCAAAGACAGAACTCCTGCAATCCAGAAGATTACATTCCTCCCAAAGCTGTGCAAGAAATTAAAGAACTTTTACGGTTTTGTTTTGGGCTAAAACCAACTGATGGAAACTATCTTCCTAGTGCTGCAGAAGTTTTGAAATATTCAGCCGCTTTCCCAGTTAAAGAATTTCTCAAACGACCCAAACCCTTCGAGGAACAAGTGCCGGTTTCGGAAAATTTCAGTTAGAGCGCTCCAAGAGCTTCAGCCGACACTTACCGACCATGACGAGCTCTTTCGAAAGATATGTCCACCCTAGTGCTGCAAAAGTTTTGAAATATTCAGACGCTTTCCCAGTTAAAGAATTTCTCAAATGACCCAAACCCTTCGAGGAACAAGTGCCGGGTTCGGAAAATTTCAGTTAGAGTGCTCCAAGAGCTTCAGCCGACACTTATCGACCATGACGAGCTCTTCCGAAAGATATGTCCGTCCACTTATCGACAAAGGGATGAAGCAGGTTAGAGTGAACTGCACCGCTGACAAAAAGATTGGTCTCAGGATGCTCGAATTTCTTGTTCTAAGCAACAAGATTGCTAAGCAACAAGGGTCCATTAAATGGCGTCATAACGCGTCATGGAGACGTTCTAGCAGGTGGAGAACGCGTGTTCTACGTTATACGACGATTTGATAGAAAAAGACTGGTTGTTTGCTAAAAACCTCCCGGACAGGACTGAAGGAGGATTCAAATGAAACAGAATGTAATTTTGTACAGTTCTTACTTCTTAAAGTAATTGAAATAAATATATTTTTGTGCGATATTTACTTCATGGAGTGGAGCGGGTCGCTTTCATTAGTGAGTCATTACTCATACTGTACTTTCTGAACTCAATATTCTTGTGGCACTGGTCTTTATATCAACTTTTTCTATTGTCACTGTGGTGCCAATTTCATTATATATTACGAGAATGTTTTATTAATGCTCTGTGCATCGTTTCTCGTGACTTACATCAGTCGATCACTACCTTAATTTGCATCCACATTTTGGAGAAATTAGAAGCTGTTTCATACAAGAGTTTCTACTGTTCTCGCTCTGCACTGAGGAACACTCGCCTGCCGTTAGGTGAATCGAAAAATCAATTGGCACTACATAGTGCAGATCGTTTTATATCTTCTATAGAAACAACAAACAAGCAAGTAAAATAAACAAATCATCCAGAGCCGGAAAACAGTCAACGAACAGAAAAACGTTGGCAATTTCTAGAAGAAGGCAGTGGGCGACTCAAACACTTTTAGAGGTTATGTTGTGTTGTGCAATTTTCAGATAACGAAAACAAAACGTCAAAAGTTTTATGAAATGATACAATTTCGTGCTTTCAAAAGGAGTATACTTTCGAGATTGTTTAAGGTGACACTTCCAGATACGTCGACCAAATATTTAACAATTGCTGGCATCATATGCCAACTGGCATTATTAAGCTTTTTGAAAAAAATTGGTGGAAATTGACTTCTTTGACTAGAAGTGTAGTCTTCCCGACAAACCGTGATCTCTCAGAGGAAAATTACGATCGAAAAACTTGGAAAACTTAAATATTCACCACAAAAGAATTGCGCCACTTGTTAACGAAATTTGTACGCCTTGCCCATTTGAAACTGTGCGTATCGGCCTTGCATTGTGTCTTTTTGATTTACAACAAATGAAAAAATAGTTCTCATCCAAAACTGAGTCTCCGGGTCATTAGACCTAAGAATGTTCTTGTAATTTTGGCGTTCTCTGCTTCAACGGACGCGCCGAGTCCTCATGTAAACAATTCCCTATTTAAACTAAAAGGCACGAAGTGTTATCTAATATATTGTTTATAAATATACATTTATGCCTGGATTTATAAAAACGTTGTTAATGAAAATGTCACTGTTTTAACAGCAACTCTGTGCAACCGTTTTCTTTCTCGCTAAAAACGATCTCCAAAGTATGCGATCAGTAAAAATTCGAAGAAATGCCAATTTTTACCTCCACTCTCTTACCTGCCTTGCTTTACCCCGCCCCATTTTCCCATAATTTTATGGAGCAATTTTCAGGCGTTAAGGACTCTTAGACAAAGGTCTGTAGCTCACTTGCAAAAAAACGAACTCTTCATTAACAACGCTCTCGTCAATTCACACAGTCATCTAACAATTACATTACTGCCAACAAAGCATTACTTTCTTTTTAATTAACGGCCTTTTACCGCTTTCTTAGAGTTCTTTAGTATGCTGTGTGGCTTTTTCAAACAGAGTGACTGGATCGATGACAGTTATCATCCGACATTTCAATTTACATTAAGTGGAACTGTTTGCAACTTAAGTCTGACATTTGAATTGCCAGTGAAACTCTTTATACAGCTGATCCCACGAACAGTATATTTTAAGTCCTTGTTTCAGCCTTGATTATTCCAAGATTAAATTTAAAATTCTCCTAGTCTTATATTTCCAACCCATTGTGTTGTGTTATTGCACAAGACACCGTTACTCTCATACGTACAGTCGGCCTGCACACACCAGCGTATAAGCAGAAGTAACATATGCGGATGTAGTAAGGTGCTGTCAAAGGAGCTCAACCATGGCATTTTAAGTTATTTTGGCCGCGTATAAGATTACCTTAAAATTGAAGGAAACCTGAAATAGGTAGATAATAATTTTAAATTATATGAAGTGTCCCCAATTAGTAGAGACGTGATTCCTCTCGGCTAAAAATTTCGACGCGTTAATAAAGTTTATGCAATGTATGTCACAAAGATAGATAAACACCAATGAAATAAAAATAATCCATAATGGAACAAGGATGGTTAAGGATGGTCAAGATTAACATGAATTACGAACGAGGGACTTGAAAAATGTAGGCTAAACTTTTCAAGATGCGGAAACCACCCCATTTGTTAAGACATTTTGACAACAATAGGCGCTAAGTATGTCCATGTAACCTGTAGTGCGTTTTTCTAACCGGGAGAAAATGGGTGGCGACAAACCATTAGAGTAATTTTGACACGAGATGTGCTTAAAGGAAGAGGGGAGGGTAGTGAAGGTGGTGGTGGTAGTTGGGGGGGGGGGTCACAGGTCAGAGGACGGGGAGGGGACTAGCTGTGGTGGACTAACATTCCATCAAGGGAGATTTAGCAATATTTGTAACTGTGTTAGGCTGCGAAACTGCAGGTAAGCGTCAAGTTAGATCTGATAAGTCATCTGCCTATTGCGCTCCCATCACATTTCTCTAAAGATCGAACACGCGATTACCTTACTCATTTTATGTAAGTTGAGAATTTGGCGATACATCAATACAATATCCTTAATTGGTGTATTTTTGTTATTCTCGCCACCTTTCTATTTGATATTTGCTGAAAACACAAGGAGAACTCGTTAAATTTTCATCATCCTTGGGAATCAAAACACGGATAAAAAGTAGACACAAAAAGACACATTGTATTAGCTGTTACATTCACGTTATAATGTTGATGTAACTTGTGAAAGATACACAAAGTTGAAAAGCATCGTGACATGAGTTTGGAGTGTAAAATATGGGTCATTAAATTTGTGACGTAATATTTGATGTTTTTTCTATTCATATTTCAGAATGGATGAAAAGTATACAGCAAGACCCATTTAGCTGTTAGATTTACTGTAATGTTGACGCCACTTGTAAATTAAAAATAAAGCCAAGAATGAAAGCTAACAAAGTTTTGCTTCATCATTTCCTTTAGTCTCGATTTACCAGCCGCTGTTCAGGAGGGTAGCCTGCGCTCTTTTCCCGGAACTCAAGTCGGTTAGTCTTTTTTCGGAGAGGGAAGATAGCGGGGAAAATCGAACCGGCCACTTGATCTCCTGAAAAAGGTGAATTTCTCGCGACATGCGTTTGAAGTGTAGCATATCCGTCATTAAATTAATAAACGTCCATATTTGATCTTTTCAATTAATCTTTCACTTTTTAATCAAACAACTGGTTTGCGTAACTTGTTGACAGTGAAATGAGTCTACAGTGAAAAGAGACATCACTTCAAGAGCATGACGTTTTCATTTTGTAGCGACATCATCCAAAGTAAACAAGTACAGTAAACATTTCATGATGTTTCGTGCCGGTATAAATCTGCTATCACCACGTTTCATCGTGTACTTTGTCAGTTGTTGTAAATCATTCAAGATGAGGGCTCTAGTTGCGGTTTTGCTCTTTACTTTCTTGGGAACGGTGTCTTCAGAGCCCTTCATCGAGGCACAAGATCCCTCATTGGAAGACAACGCACCCAACACAAACGTAAAACGGCATCACAACAGCTGGTGTTCGGTGAGAATATCAAAAATATCTTGACTGGTATGGGATGAAATAAGTCTCTCTCTGGGTATCTAACTACTGGCATTGCACAACTTAAGCCAAAAAATCTACCTATCTTGTTGGTATTCATTGGTATTACACGATGGTAAAAATACAACTAAAATACATTCTTAGTATAGACTTTTGAATGGGCTAGGATATATAAGTCAAACTGGTAACTTGTAACTTGTAGAAACCTCTGATTTTACCGAGATTCAGCAATCCTGCTTGTAAATCAAAGCCATTTTCGCTAAGAGATATCATAGTTCTCTCCGCAGTTGTGCCTAAGCTCTCTCATCAGTGCATTCAAATATCTGAGGAAAGGTGTTTTATTTTCCTGTAACAAGCAAGTGACGGTTAAACGGTGTAACTTTACCGACGTGAGCCACGCGCGAAAAAGTGCGTGCATACGTTTACGCGCGATCTCTTGTGGTGAACACGACATCTCTCACAGTGAACGCGCTATCTCTTACTATACGGTGGTCGCGACATCTTTTTCGTTTATCCTCGCTTATTTCGTTGTTCAGAAACCGCTATCGTCAGTTATAAGATTCTGCTCTCCAGTATAGATAGGTGCCAGTCATCCCTGGAGTTTAGCATCACGAAACCAACTTCTGAGAACAAGCTACTTCTCCTCGTGTTAAATCTTGATTGAAAAATCATTTTGTCCAAGCCCCTCGACATTTACAACTCATTTTTAGCTCTTTTGAGGTCCTTTTATGAGACAATCTGCGCTAAGAACTCGTAGCTGCCGGATACAATTCAATTCAGTTCAAATTCCCATTCAAATGAGAACTAAATCATGAATCGATAAGCTTGGATTTTCATAAGGAAATTCAGAAAAACAGCGGCGCTGATCGAATGCTAAATTTGCTAAGTTGCGTTCGGTTCACAAACGTTGCACTCTGACAATAAAGCATGTATTCCATTAATTAAGATCTACATTGTCAAACTGTAATTACATTGGCCTTTTAAATGTAAGGAACTCCTTGACACAAGCTTTGTAATAAACTTAAGATAGGATTTCATTTGATACAATTTTCTTTTTTAACTTCAGCTGCGCCATTTTAAGGCTTGCAATCTACTTTAGAGGCAGGCCAAGCAATTTTTCTTCTCTCAAGAAAAAAAAAAACAGTTATTACATCAAGATTTCTGTGTTGTTGGAACACCTCCAGAAATATCTATGTTTGACTAGGCTTTCTCCTTGTTGGCTTCGCTTGAATCACCGTAGTCAGTCTAACATGACCTTTTAAGCTGTTATAATTTACAAGCTTTATCTGTTCCCGTGACCTGGTAGCAAAATCGCGAAAACGTAAACAAAAGCAAAAAATAACCGAAGTCAATCATTTGCTGTTTCAAAATTATGGCAAGATAATATCAGATTTTACAACGCGATCTGATAACTACATATGCGGCATGAAACTGTGTTTGTCATAGTTTCCTTGATACAAAACTGATCTGCGCATGATTAGATTTTGCCAAAGAAGATCCTCGTCGGGGACTTGCAATAAATTTAACAGATTTCTTTGGTATGAAAGTTATTCTTTATATAGAGGCGTTTTGGTTTAAGATAAGAAATAAGCAGAAATGCTGCATGTAAATAGTCTTATTATTCACGGGGGATAAAGCGGTATTCTACGCTTTACGACAAAAACTAGTTAAGGCCACAAATTAAAGAAAAAAAAACGCAGTTCACTGTAAACTTAAAACTGCATTCTCGTTTCACGGAAATAGCCACGTTAAATCGTATCGTTTCAGCAAATCACGTAAAGAATGTGAAAAAGTCATTTTTCATAAGAATATGGCAATTCTCGACGTACGATAATAGCCTCTACCACTCTCGAGGTGCAATTTCGGTTATCGAGAAAAAAGCACGAGAAATACCTAAAAAAAATATTAAAACTGTCAAGGATTGACGTTTTTTTTTTTTTTACTGATATTGACTCTTGGAGGCTCACACGGGAAAGCGTGGCATATAACAAACTGTTTATGGCATTGATTACAAAAGGACATCTCTACTGCTATTGGCTGTCATTGAAACCATAAAGACAGTATTTGCTTTACCAGCTGCAGGAGAAAGGAAAACTAACGTTAGTGGACTAAATGTCAACATCATTTGCCCGAAATCTTTTGCAACTATTACTGTGTACCATTGAATGGTACACATTAAAAATACAAGGTGTCTTAGTACCTCTGCGTCCGGCTCTAAATAAACCGATCCAAATTATATTTGTTGAAAACGAGATAGAAAATTGAAGGATGAAACTAAAACAAATACAAACATTTAGGACATCCGAGAAGTGGTTCAAAACCAAGTTTACATTAATGGCTTTTTAAACAGATCCATGCGGGCTCAAAAGTAAACAACACGAAATTCTCCTTTCATCTTTTTTTAATATGTTGCTTTCAATTTTCTTTTCTTTTCTCGACTTACATATAATTATCAAATATACATACATTTCATGTGTAATACATCAAATATTAAATGGTACTCGAGATACATAGTCATTCAACTGAATTATCGAAGTATTCGTAGTGATAATTTTCAAAGAAAGACATTAATGAAAAAAAATTAAACAAAAAACAAACAAACAAAATAAAAACAAAGCAAACCAAAAACCCAAAACAAACAAAAAAAACAAAATAAAACAAAAACAAGAAAGGTTAAGATTAGGAAAGACTGAAACGGAAAAAAACTTATGACTGAAGCAAAAAAAAAGTAAAGTCTGCATGCGAGCCAAGTGGCCCATGACTGACTGAGGCAATGTCCATGAAAAAATTATGACTGAGGCAATGTCCGTAAAAAAATTATGACCGAGGCAATTTCCATGAACACATTATGACTGAGGCGATGCCCATGAAAAAATTATGACTGAGGCAATTTCTATGAAAACATTATGACTGAGGCGATGCCCATGACAAAATTATGATTGAGGCAATGTCCATGAAAACATTATGACTGAGGCAATGTCTATGAGAAAATTATGACTGAGGCAATGTCCATGAAAACATTATGACTGAGGCGATGTCCATGACAAAATTATGACTGAGGCAATGTCCGTGAAAAAATTATGACTGAGGCAATGTCCATGAAAACATTATGACTGAGGCAATGTTCATGAAAAAATTATGACTGAGGCAATGTCCGTGAAAAAATTATGACTGAGGCAATTTCCATGAAAAAATTATGACTGAGACAATGTCCACGAAAAAATTATGACTGAGGCAATGTCCATGAAAAAATTATGATCGAGGCAATGTCCATGAGAAAATTATGACTGAGGCAATGTCCGTGAAAAAATTATGACTGAGGCAATGTCCATGAAAAAATTATAACTGAGGCAATTTCCATGAAAAAATTATGACTGAGGCAATTTCCATGAAAACATTATGACTGAGGCAATGTCCGTGAAAAAATTATGACTGAGGCAATGTCCGTGAAAAAATTATGACTGAGGCAATGTCTGTGACAAAATTATGACTGAGGCAATTTCCATGAAAAAAATGATGACTGAAGAAATGTCCATGGGAAAAAAATGAGACTGAGGTAATGTGAATGAAATAAATATGACTAAGGCAACATCCGTAGAAAAATGATGACTATGGCAATGTCAATGATGAAAACATTATGACTAAGGCGATGACCGAGGCTAGATCCTCAGTTTGCCTGTTATTAGCTATGGCCCTGAAGGATTAAGAAAAGCGAACTTCAACGGGTGAGAAATTCTCGCCCATAGCAACTTTCTTTTTTCTCGTAAGTTCTCGCGCGTTTACAGATGCGCCACACTCGCGTTTTAGGCGCAGAGATCCCAACCAATGCTTACCTAACTTTTTAAAGATGCTACTTTTAGCCCTCCCCCAAATCTACATACCTGTATTCCACTCGTCGAAAACTATGCATTTGCACAGTGTTCGGGTGGAGATTCGCGCCCATATCAACTTCCTTTTCTCTCGTAAGCTCTCGCGCGTTTAGAGATGCGCCACACTCGCGTTTGTTTTAGGTGCGGGGATCCCAATCAATGCTTACCTAACATTTTAAAGATGCTATTTTTAGCCCTCCCCCAAATCTACACACGTGTATTTCACTTGTGGAAAACTACCGATTTGGACAGCGCTTGGGTAAGAGATTCTCGCCCATATACTCTTTGTTTTCTCTCGTAAGCTCTCGCGCGTTTAGAGATGCGCCACACTCGTGTCTTCGGTATCGGGATCTCAAACTCTGCCTACTGGACTTTTTAAAGATGCTAGATTTGGCCCTTCCTCAAATCTACAGACGTGTATTTCACTTGTGGAAGTCTATCGATTTGGACAGTGCTTGGGTGAGCGATTCTCGCCTATATTAACTTTCTTTTCGCTAGTAAGTTCTCGCGCGTTTAGAGATGCGCCACACTCGCGGTTTTGGTGTCAGGATCTTAAACTATCTTTACTGGACTTTCTTGAAGATGCTAGATTTGGCCCTTTCTCAAATCTGCGCTCGTGTATTTCACTTGTGGAAATCTGTCGCTTTGGACAATGCCTGGGTTAAAGATTCTCGCCCTTTTATATCTTTTTTTCACTCGCGTGTTTTCGCGCGTTTAGCGATGCGGCAAACTCGCGGTTAGGTGTGGGGCTCCCAAACCGTGCTTACGGGCTCTTTAAAAATGCTAGTTTTGGCCCTCCCCCAAATCTACACAAAGGTATTTCACTTGTGGAGGTCTATCGATTTGGACAGCGCTTGGGTTAGAGATTCTCGCCCCTATCAACTTTCTTTTCTCTCGTAAGTTTTCCCGCGTTTAGAGATGCGCAAAATCGCGTTTTAGGTTCCAGGAACCTAACCAATGCTTACCTAACTTTTTGAAGATGCTACTTTTCACCCTCTACCAAATCTACACACGTGTATTTGACTTGTGGAAGTCTATCGATTTGGACAGTGCTTGGGTTAGAGACTCTCGCCCTTATCAACTTTCTTTTCCTTCGTAAGCTTCCGCGCGTTT